ATATATATGTATAAAAGAATTGTGGCAGGTATCTAGATGCCCCTATTTTTTATTTAGGCTATTATCTTTCAAAATAATTTTTTGAATAAAAATGCCACCAAATGAGAAAAAGCATCATGATGAACAATCATTTTGGGCATTAAAAAAAACTATTTTGAAATCTCTATTTTGACTTGAAAAAGAAAACATACAAAAAAAATAGTCAAGAAATTTGCAAGGGGAGCTTGCGGGGAAATCGCCTGGATCAGCAGTGAGTGTAGGAGAATTGTTGGTGATAATTGAAAATTTAAAGGTCTGCTTGGGGCAGCTGTAGCTTATTGAATAATCTGCTGATAAACTTATTAAAAATAATCTGCTGATAATATGTGTGGTGGCTATTATAAATTTTTATTTTATTGGAAAAATCAGTCTGCCACTAGAAAGCTGTCAAAACGCAGTTTACCCTAACAATTTAGGCGTGCTTTCAAAACGCCACTGCACCAAATAAGCTGCCCCAAATAGACCCTAAGTTAAATCCCGCGAATGCCCGATTTTAGAATATTGATATTATTTAACACTAGGGAGAAATGGGATTTAAGATTCTATATGTTTTAGCTATGTCATTTTTAAAATTTTGAAGTATTTAAATTAAATCCTGCCTAAATAATTCTCAGTTTCTGCTCTAGATCATCCCCAAAATGTGGTTTTTTTCTTGGATTTAAGAAAACAGCGATTCAAGTCAAAACACCACGAAAGCATGATTTGGACATATGACGTATTGTATGATTTAGCTTCAAAAAGACTGTCTGGCAAGTTTGGAGGAACCTAGCATTTATCTTGCTCAAAACCTTCTACAAAAAAACCTCTTAAATCTTGCCTTTCAAGCAGGCAACAAACACCCACTTCAGAGAGAGGGTTAAGGAAATTAGGAGTCGGGAAGACGGATCAAGACAGGATGGCTAGAAAACAGATTTCACTTTGGATTCATATAAACAATTTGATAACAATACAATAGAATACCTTCAAGAAGACGCCTTAGTCTCAACTTTCTTCGGCACAGCAAAAGCACCACAATGAAAGAGACAGCGAGCGAGGTGAAGACGAGTGCGGTGCTAAAGCAACGAGGGAGTGGTGTTTGTGAGGAATTTTTATTCGGTACGTGCACCGCATGAACCCCTACATGCGGTACCGAATAAAAATTCGCCACGTGGAATGCGATTCCACGTGGCTTTATAGCTTAAAAATAAGCTTTTTTTATGCCCGACCCGACGTATCCCGCCCAAAAAAAAGTGGTTTTTTGTCATTTTTGATTCCCTCTAATAGAAGAAAGTGACATTTTGTCTGCTTTAGGGTATTGAGATTTAGTATATTCTCATTTTTTCCCTTATGTTCGCTGGAGCTGGTTCGATGGAAATAATTTTTTACGAAGAAATGTTGGTGGAATCTCAAAATACTCCTGAGAATCATAACAATGAGATGAAATCTCAGAATATTTCCAAGAATAATGAGATTGAGCAGAGTTTAGATGCGGCAGAAGGACATCGGCAGATAAATTTTTTTAACGAAGGATGTTTGAATGCAGTTCTTGGTTTTAAGGAGTAATTTTATTGCTAATGAAGTTTGCTCTATTTTTAGATGAGTTTTAACACTAAGTTTCGGTTGGGTGGAATGTGGTGTTATTTAGGAAATATAATGGTGATACAATGGTTATTATTGTAATTGTTCTCCATTTCTTATTGTTCATTAGAATATTAGTTGGGGTTTGATGTTATTTTGATAGTATCTGGTATCATAATGTAAAGTGAATGTCTTGAGGATTTGGAATTATTTTGGTAGTATCACAGTGTTATTTTGGTGGTATCATAATGTAAAGTGAATGTCTGAGGATTTGGCGTTATTTTGGTCGTACCACAGCGTTATTTTGGTGGTATCATAATGTAAAGCTAATGTCTTGAGGATTTGGTGTTATTTTGGTCGTACCACAGCGTTATTTTGGTGGTATCATAATGTAAAGCTAATGTCTTGAGGATTTGGTGTTATTTTGGTCGTACCACAGCGTTATTTTGGTGGTATCATAATGTAAAGAATCTCGAGGATTTGGTGTTATTTTGGTATTATCACAGCATTATTTTGGTGGTATCATAATGTAAAACCAATGTCTTGAGGATTTGGTGTTATTTTGGTCGTACCACAGCGTTATTTTGGTAGTACCACAACGTAACGTTTCTTTCATGTGGATTTGGTGTTACTTAGGTATTATCACGGTGATACACCGGTTGGGTTTTGTAGTTGTTTTCCATCTCCGGTTGTTCGGTATAATATAAGTTCTGGGCTGATGTTATGAATAGTATTATTATGATATTAATATGGTATTATTATTTTGTTCTTTATGTATTATAACATTGTATCTATGATGTTTAAATCTGCAGTCACCCGATACAGAGAAATTACTTAATGCAGTTGTCCAGAACGAGAATGAAGCATATGAACAGTATTGTTTATATGCACACCATATTGGATTTACTGTGCGAAAGGAACACAGTGGTTTCTGGCCGAATTCTAAGAAGTTGAAGACAAAGGACTTTGTTTGTGGTAAGGCTGGTTTCAAGAAAGAGTTGAAGGACACTATCACAGTGAGGTTCAAAAGAGCGGACACAAGGACTGGTTGTCCAGCAATGATCCGATACTCCGTTGATTTAGATGGCAACTGGTCGGTAAAAAAATTTGTAGAAAGTCACAACCATCCGTTGGCGGAGGACGGTGACAAGCATCTACTGCATTCCAGCAGAAAGATGTGTGATATCAGTGCTGATATCCTCATAACAATGACAAAATCAGAGATTAGAACCAGTGATGCATTCAGATTCCTCGCAAATGAGGTTGGAGGAGTGGAGAATCTTGATTGCACAAAGAGGGATGCATATAATTTCATACAAAGAGAGAGAAGAGTTCAGATTGAATTAGGGGATGCTAATTCTCTCATACAATTGTTCACTACCCGACAAGCAGATGATCCAATGTTTGCGTGGGACTTCCAAATTGATGAGGCAGGATGTTTGGTGAATTTTACGACGGTATGTCCATGATTGATTACAACTGTTTTGGGGATGTAATAATATTTGATACAAGTTATAGATTGAATAAATACAATTTATGTTGTGCTCCGATTGTCGGTGTGAATCATCACTGGCACAATGTTCTATTTGTTGTTGGTTTTTTGTCAGATGAAACAATTGAATCATTCAAGTGGTTATTCAGAGCTTTTATCCGTATAATGGATAACAAGCATCCGATAACAATATTCACTGACCAGGACCAAGCAATGTCTAAAGCTATTGAAGAGTGTCTTCCGAAAACCAGACATAGATTATGTCAATGGCACATCTACAAGAAGTTATCTTCAAAAGTCCATTGTGGCATCGGTAGCAAGAGAGTCAATGATCTTTTTTATAAAATGTGAATCTGAAGAGGAGTTTGAAGAAACTTGGGGTGATATGGTCGAGAAAGGAAAACTACACGAGAATGTTTGGTTGAATGAATTGTATAATATCAGGCATAAGTGGTCAACCGCCTTCAACAAAGAAATTTTTGGAATGGGGATCCTATCAACGCAAAGAAGTGAGTCCACAAATAAGATTTGTCATGATGTCTCCAAGGCAACAAGCACCCTGACCGAATGTTTTTTGGGTCTTGAAAATGTTCTCAAAGATTGGAGAAGAAATGAAAAGGATGAAGAATTTAAATGCCAGCAGTCTGCAATTTCTCCCACCGTTAAAAGCAGTCCAGTGTTGAGACAAGTTTCAACCCTTTACACTAGGAAGTTATACTCAATCTTTGAAACACAGTTTCTACATGGCTTGTGTGGGCTTGCTGTAGAGTGTTGCAGCACTACGGATTCAGAATTTCATATCCGAACTCTCGATAATAAGGACAGAGCCAGGCCCTGGATTGTTAAAGTGGACAATTGTAATTCTGATATTACGTGTAGTTGTAAAAAGTTTGAAATGATGGGTTTATTATGTGCCCACGCTCTAAGGGTTCTCCAGCACAAAAATATTACAAAAATCCCTGATAAATATATTTTACTTCGGTGGACTATTAATGCGAAAAGGGACATATATAACAGTTATGGTTATGCAAATCGAAGAGTTTCAGAAATGTTGCCAAACTCTGCAAGCGGACTCATCTATCTCAACCACATTCAAAAATTTGCATACCAGATCGGCACCATATCATGAGGCCATGTACGTGCAGAGAAGATAGTGTAAGAGGGATTTAACAAAATTAAAATCGATG